CTTCTCCAGGCACCAGAAATCATCGAATTTTGTGAAATCTGATGCCTGTAGAACGCGTTACAGAGTGTAGAGTGATTACTAGAATTAACACTCCTATCAGTGGCATACTACCTCTAGTAGCAGCATCCTAGCTCAAACTTAGTAGAATGTGACAGCCTGATGGATAGAGTCGAGAGGGCGGAAACCAAGGCAAGCCCTGATGTGCTCCGGGCCTCAAATATGTATTTACTCGGAATAGCCTAAACCCAGATTCACACTCGTAGGGTAGGAGCCCTAGCGTGATTGTTAATCCGCGTCACCTCTGAATAATACTACCGTCAGAAATAGTGCCAATACTACTAACACTCGGCTGCACTGCTAGTTGGAAGTAATAGAAATGGTGGTAGCCGTATTAGTCTCGGTTTCTTCAGGCTTGCCTTGACACCTACTGAAGGTGAATGAATGTAGGTAATGCGATAGTACCCGCACAAAGTCTACTCTCACTGAAGACTAAGTTAGGCGGTGTTTCTGGCTTGCATTGGAGAAGGCGCCCAACGTCGGATCTATGGTGAAATTGGGGAGTGCGTTTAGCGCTAACTACGCCTGTTGTAACTTTAAAGCTACCCCTGTGGCCAGTCACCATCACTACACCAACCTGTTGGCGCATATGGTGGACTTCATCGAAGTCAATGTTCGAATAACCATAATCATCATCAGACTTTTGCAGCAGCCATTGCACTCGCTGCCCCCTGATACACACCAAGCTCCAATGGCAAGGTGATCGGGGGTGAAATCGGACGAAGTGGCCGGCAAAATTAAACATTCCGTCCACGCGTTCCGGACACGTGACCGGATCCAGATTACCATATTACACCTCCCCGGCCCTTCCATCACGGTGAACCACCACCGACCATAATTCGACGGTCGAGTCTAACGATTTCCACCATGTACTCCACAACTTGACGGTGCAAGGAAGCGCGCGTGGATAATTTTAAGTGTTAGTAGACCAAAGGTGGGACTTGACGCACGCGGTTGGCGCAGCCGGAGCCGACCTTGCCGACTTAGATCCTACGGGGTAGGAACCCAACAAAAACAACCCAAATTATTAAAATTACCAATGTGCAGTTATGGAGGGGAAGTAGATAGTTTCCAAAACGCCCTAATAGCGACAATCAAAACAGTCCACCACAACAACAACAACCACATGAATATATAACGATAAGTAAACTACTGACGTTAGAGAGGCATATAAGAGGACAGGCTCACCGAGAGGTTTGAATACTCAAGAGGCTGGCCATCCAGTCCGCCTTCTCCTCCGGACTCGGGGCCTCAAACCAGATGCGTTGAATGTTCGCGCCGGGGGGCAACGAGGGCTCCGCCGTAGCCTCCGCAGGGCCGGTGAGTGTGTTGCCAGCCATCGAACAACAACCGGTGT